GCGGGATCCAAAACCGGCCAAACGGCTGGATGAGGTCAGGTTGGAGGGCAGTCACTGGTGGTGCCCCCCAGGGGTCAACATGGGGGTTTCCAGCATCCACCACATCACCTCTGTCCATTCCCAAATTTAACATTTCATGTGGAATCACTAAATTAACTCAGCTTTAAGAAGTGGAAAACCCCATCTAGGCATTTCCTGCAGCTTGTACTGCTTTCGGTTTTCCTTTCAGCCTTTCTCCGCCTCTCAAGCACCTCAGGAAGACTGTGAGGTCCGGTTTGGCCCCCGTGCCTGCCGACCCACCAATCCCCGCTGCATTTCTCACAGCCTCCATGGAGGTACCAGCAGCCTGGCTCTGCTGCTGGCTCCATCCCAAGGACGTGACTGCTTTGCAGGCAGCTGCCGGAGAAGGGAGTGGGACACTGAACGGGGCTTGTCCCGGGATGTGTACAGCTCGAAAAGATTGGGCATGACGGATGACTCTTGCCCGAGCCAAGCCCTTGTGCCTGGCAGGTTATATCCCAGGCAGAGTGGGACCTGGCCCTCCACACACGGGCAGGATGGCTCGAGCATGGCACTGACACCCCATTTCTGCTCCTCTCTCACTGGAGATGTCAATTTTAGCTCTGTAAGTAGGAGCTCAGCGAGACCTTCACCAGAGGGACCTGGACAGGCTAGAGAAATGGGCCAACAGAAACCTTATGAAGTTCAACAAGGGAGAGGTTCAAAGCTCTGCCTCAGGGAGGAAGATGCCCAGGCACCAGGACATGCTGTGGGGCAACCGGCTGGAAAGCAGCTTGGCAGAAAAGGCTTTGGGGGTCCTGGGGAACACCAAGCCAACCATGAGCCACCAATGTGCCCTTGGGGCACAGTGAAGGCCAACAGCATCCTGGGCTGCATTAGTAGGAACATTGCCAGAAGGTCGAGTGTGGAGATCCTTGCCCTCTGCTCAGCACTGGCGCAGCCAACCCTGGCGCGCTGGGTCCTGTGCTGGGCTCACCCAGCACAAGAGAGACAGGGGCAAACTGGACGGGTCACCCAGGTTCTGGAGCATCTCGTATGAAAAGGAGCTGAGAGAGCTGGCACTGTTCAACCTGGAGAAGAAAAGGCCCTGGGGGATCTTATCAGTGTGTATCAAACCCTGATGGAGGGAGTAAAGAAGACGGAGCCAGGCTGTTCTTGGTGGTGCCCAGTGCCAAGACAAGAGGCAGTGGGCATGAATGGAAACACGGGAGGTTCCCTCTGAACATCAGGAAAGACTTTTTTCACTGTGAGGGTGACCGACCCCTTGGCACAGGTCACCCAGGGATGTTCTGCAGCCTCCATCCTTGGAGATCTTCAAAAGCCATCTGGACATGGTCCTGGGCAAGGAGCTCTAGGTTGAGGTTGGACTAAATGACCTCCAGAAGTGCCTCTGACCTCAACCCTCTGTGATCCTGTGAAAATATTTTGCCAAGGGGATTATTTAGAGCTGCTTTGGATCTCTCTCAGGGCTTTCTTCTGGGGACTCTTGCAGTTCCCACACTCATGGGAGAGTTTCTGGGAGGCTTTTCTCCCACCAAAGGGGAAGTTTGATTCCCCAGCGAGGGGGAAGTGTCCCCATGGCTTCTAAAGGGAAGGAAGCAAAAACAAGAAGCCAGGTGCTTGATCAGGCTGGGGCTGGAGAAAGGTCTCTTGGAGGCAGGTGGGAGGTCACTGCATGACACGCAGTCATGGAGGTTTCCTGGAATTGGTACTGCTTTGGGGTTTTTCTTTATGCCTTTCTCTGCCTCTCATGTGCATCGGGAAGGGTGTGAGGTCAGGTTAGTAGAGGTGCCTGCCCAGAGGTCAGATCGCCAAGGATGGCTTCAAAGCCGTGAGAAATGAGAGAGTGAAATGCTAGCTTTACTGGAAAAGAGGCAGGATCGACCTCAATGACTTCCATAGTAATGTCAGGGAGGTGATGAACAGCAAAGCCAACTACTATCCCAGCAAAAAACCTGGCATCCACTTTGGCTCTACCTCCCGGACTTGGTGGACTTCTACATGCAACTGGTGAGCACAGAACTGGGCGTCACGGCCACGGTGGGTCCCACAGCCAGCCCCACATTTGCATCCTGACCCGATTCCCCCTGGGGCTGGTCCACGGGTGGTGGGGACAGCCAAGCCCCCTGCACATGGACAGCATCCTCTTGCAGGTGGAAATCCAAAAGGAAGGGAGCGGCAGCAGCAGCGGGGCTGTGAGTATCCCCAGTGTCAGCCCTCCCTGGCAGGGCTGTGGGGTCCCCACCAGCGCTCTGGGGTCCTGGTCTCTGCAGGAGAGGTGGGGTCCCTGGGGGAGATTCAAGCTCCCAAGCAGCCAGGGGTATCCAGGAGGGCTGGAGTCTCCAGGAGGATTGTGGTCCTTGGGAAGCCTGGGGTCGTTCAGAGGGCAGGGCAGGTCCCTGAGATGGCTGGGTCCCCAAGGGGCTGGGGTTCCTGGGAGGACTGTGGGGTCCCCAGGAGGGCTGGAGTCCCCAGAGACGATTGGGGTCTCCAGGAGAGCAGCAGGGTCCCCAAGGAGGTCTGGGTCCCAAGAAGGGCCAGAACTCCCAGGAGGGCTGTGGGGTCCCTGGGAGGGCTGGGGTCCCCAGAACAGGGCTGTGGTCTCCAAAGGGGGCTGGGGTCCCCAGGAGGGCTGCTGCCAGTGCTGGCGGGGGACCCACCCGCATGGGATGGGAAGGGCAGGGATGCAGGGATTGCTTTCTGCTTGCTAGACCTTAATTGCTGTGCATTAATTAGATTTATTAAATTTTGCTACCTGAGATGTGTCCGTTTTTCCTTGCTGCCTCATTCCTGCGTGACGGGGTGGGAGAGCAGCCCGGCTGGCCACCAGCCTCTGAGGGCTTGTTGGCGGCAAAGAGTAGTAATCACTGAAATATCTGCCAATATCAATATCTGTCATGAAGAAAATAGTAATAGTAATAATAATAACAACATAATCATAATCTATAATAATAATATAATTTAATACAAAACGTAATATATCATATGTATCACATATAATAGATCCTATGTCATATATTATATACTGTACACCATATACTATATAAGGCATAATGTGTGTACTGTATAATGTACGCTATATAATGTATAATGTAATCTGCTAGAATAGAGAACATAGAACAGAAGAGAATAAAACAGAATTAATAGAATCTGCAATATAATGTAATATAGCATACAACATGTAACATCAATAACAGAAAGCAGAATGTAGAATGGATTATGGATTATGTATACTGTAGTATGATAGAATATAGAATATACATAATAGAACTAATATAATCAGTAATGTAATATGTAACTTAATGTGTGGTATATAGTGTATATGTAGTTCTCAAGGGAGGTTCTCCTCCCCCTCTACTCTGCCCCGGTGAGGCCCCATCTGCAGTGCTGTGTCCAGTTCTGGGATCCCCAGTTCAAGAAAGATGAGGAGCTACTGGAGAGAGTCCAGCGGAGGGCTACGAGGATGGTGAGGGGACTGGAGCATCTCTCCTACGAGGAGAGGCTGAGGGAGCTGGGCTTGTTCAGCCTGAAGAAGAGAAGGCTGTGAGGGGACCTAATAAGTGTTTATAAATATCTCAAGAGTGGGTGTCAGGAGGATGGGGCCAAACTCTTTTCAGTAGTGCCCAGTGACAGGACAAGTGGACAAGGTCCTGTGCAGCCTGCTCTGGGTGACCCTGCTTCGGCAGGGGGTTGGGCTGGGTGACCCCAGAGGTCCCTTCCAGCCCCGCCACGCTGGGATGCTGCGTACCGCCGGTGACACACCACGCACACGGCAGCCAACGCACGGTGCTGTGCGTGCAATAACGGCACAGTGTGGCGTGAGGTGATGTAAACACGGATCGGTTTAGGGGGTCCAACCCGCGTGGGCGATGCCCCCTTGCAGCCGAGCCCCCC